TATGTATGTATATTCTGTGTCAAACATACCAGTAGTAAAAACATATCTAGCCAACGCCTGCAGTAGCGCGGCGGGCCAGAGAGGAGGCTGAGTGACTCCCTCCTCAGCGGACAGTCGCATCGTCAGCTCGAACCCGTACCCCGACGGCGCGCCCGCCCACGTGCCCGGCGGGGGGTGCACGCGCCCGTCGCCGTGCAGGTCTGACACTCCGAAACTGGAGAAAATCGGACAACATTAAGTTTTTAGTTATAAATATAATTACAGTATGTTTTTAACTATCGTTAAGAAGTCGAAAAAAGACATCCCTTTCGATTCATTGTCCAATTTCCATTCGAAAATCACAACTATGACTCTCCCACTATTCGAACATTGAGGGAATCGAATAACAGCGTAGATATAAAAATCTATATTGATTAGGGAGAGAAAAAGAAAATGCATTATGTCAACCCTAAATAAAACTCAAACTCAAAAGTCAAAGTCAAAGTCAAAATCATTTATTTCAATTAGGCTAGAATGGCACTTTTGAATGTCAAATAAAATTGAAAGTGAAGCTATTTGCTCATTCCAAGGCGTAGATTCCTATGGAGCCTGTGGAGCCGGACTAGCCTGCATCCAAGCATTTTTATCCTCTATATATTCATTAAGTTTGTAATATGCTTGTCTACATAAAGTTTTCTTTATACATAATTTAAATTTGGTTTCATTTAGTTGTTGTAAATCGCCTGGTATCTTATTATAACATTTAACACAGAATCCCATGAACAACTTACTTTCGCTAATCTCGAAATTGGCTGACTTAATCTATTCTTATGTCTAGTTTGATAGTGGTGTCTGTCCGACACTTTACCAAATACTTAACTGTAGGTTTTTCCTTACATACATAATATTTAGCATTTATATCCATTAAACTATAATTTGGTACTTTTGAAACGTCAACAAATACAAAATAAATATTAGTCTGTCAGTGTGTCCGTCAGTGAAGCTAGGCGCTCATTCCAAAATGAACATTCGAGTGGAGGAGAACGAGCAAAAAACTTCAGTCGTAACTCTTTTTAAAAATATTTCAACCACAGAATAGGGTTAGCAGGTTTTTTTGTTAGTGATGCAAGAGGAAGGTTTACAGGCAGAAAGCTAATATTCTGAGACCAACTACTTTGAAGCATTAACCTTTCCGTGTGAAGAAACGGAGTTCTAATAATCTGACTGCACGGTTGGTGCGGTGGCTAGGTAACCGGCTGCCGTGCAATGTGTCGCGGGTTTGATCCACAAATTATTTGTTTCGGGTCTGGGTGTCATGTGTATGTGAACTTGTATGTTTGTAAACGCACCCACGACACAGGAGAAAATCCTAGTGTGGGGCAACGTTTTTCCTTTTTTTTTTAAATAAACTTCCGAAAACCGAATCCTCCCCCAATACCCAAATCTCGAGTCCCTATAATACCGGCAACGCACTCGTCTAGTATTCTGGGTACCCATGAGAGGCTCCGATCACTGATGGTCAGCCATCAGGTGGATGCATATGTTCGTTTGCCGCCCTATCCAAAAAAGAATGGACAAATTAGATTGGACAGTAAAGATCTGATAGTAGACTTACCTGACATAGTGCCAATGTGGCAGTATATGCTCCTCCGGCTTGCCCGGGTTCCAATACATGCTGATGTAGTCCAGGGGATCGTGACCGCCCAGCCTGGAAACACAAGACCATACATTATTGACATCATCAAGAGGTTGTGGCAGTCAACAGTTGGACTATGAGCCTCTCCTACCTTAAAAAGGTTTGCCATAGTTGGTTGTGTTTCCTGTCCGATTCTCACACAGTGCAACTGTTTGTCCGATGCACAAATAGGGTAGATGACTAATTTTTATTTCAATGTTAGTCTGGTAGATTATTTAAAAACATTAGACACATTTTTTTACGGAATTAAAAATATGATCATGTTGTATTTTATAGGTATTTCTAGTTGTCAAAACTATTTTATAAGACACAAAGGATGGAGGTATTCCTAGTAGCGCTCCCGTTTTGAAGCGCTCCCGTTTTGTATACAATGTGTTCTACTTATTTCCTAGTTATTATCGATAATTTCAGTTAGTATAGTCCCATCTCTATCCGAAAGTTAATCATGGGAGAGCTTCGAGAAAATAAATTTTAATATTTTTAATGGAGGAACAAAACGGGAGTGCTTAGATGAGAGTGCTACGAGGAAGACCTCAAAGGAAGAACCACTCACCAATACTTGAGTCTAGTTGTAACTTGTAATGGGTTTGGCTGGTCAGGGTACAGTCTGGAGCACGCTTCACATAGTGCGGTCAGTCCTGCTGGGACTAGGCGATCTGTGGAAGACATATTGTAAATTATTATTACTATGCATTTGAGGCAATATGAATGTAACACTATGTTAAATAATTTAATCGTTTCGTCAGGTGTTGCTTATTATACGGACCTTGTGGAATCTAGACAAAATTTCCGTGTGTTTAGGCGCTTATGCCTTACCTATTGAAGAAGTATAACAGCTTAAACATAGGACCCACTTAGGTTTTAGTCAAATTTCCGTGGTGCTTGGCGACTGGGCCACCCAGTTGTACAGTCTCTTTTTTGTGCCTTCAGGTTTAATTCATTCTGTCTCCTGCAGTAATTCACCGAGGGAAGTGAACACTATATTTATTTTTCTTCTCTTATAATACCTTCTGATTAACTTCATTGTGGGAACCAAGACAGTTATTCATGTTCAAGGACATGCCGGACTTCAGTGTTCCGGTGTTTTCACGGTTGTATCTACTGTAGATCCTGGCTTACAGGAGTTGCAGCGGCTTTGGGACGGTGTGGCGGGCTTGTCCCATTAAAAAAAATACTATGTCTTTACTACTCACAGGACCACAGGGTCCCGGTCATTTGGGAGGCATCAAGGGGCCGAAGCTAACTGTGCAAAGGCCCATTAGACAACTTTAATCTGAATGGAATGGGACACATTACTACTGTTACTCTTACTATTAACGTATCGCTTACCACCAGGTGAGATGGTGGCCAAACGTCAACTTATCAAGTATTATCAGCACCATACAGAATACAGGTTTGTTCCAACCTCATGATGTATAGTTATTGGGGGCGGACTGGGAGGCAGTGGACAGAGTGTGGCTCATTGCATGGTGATGATGATAGCACCAGAAAAGTCAGTGGTCCTAAGAAGCGTGATGGAGTTGGGAGTTCCACCAAGTAGGAGAGTGCCCTACATCAGTCAATGATTTCATAGGGGCTTATGTTTGCCTAGCCTCAACGGCTAAGTTTTCAAAGACCTAGTTCATATCTAAACAAATAATACTAAATCTCTCTGTATAAGAAATGTAAAATTAAAGATTATGTCTCATTTAAATAGAGTGATTTAGGTCAGGGATAAATCACAGTCTGGAATAATACATAGGGTTTTTCATATTCTTGTAACGCGGGCAAAACCGCTGGCAAAAGCTAGTTTATAAAAAAACAAAGATGATCTCACTTACCTGTCTGAGGTACCTGTTCCCGATTCATATCCGGAGCCCCGGGAACGTTGTCAGCTGTTGTCGCGGGCTGCGCAGACGCAACGAAGGACAATGCGCTGCTCCTGACCACGCCACCCTGAGTCGGAGCACCCGCACCACTTCCACTAGACATTGTAACTCAAATGAGACCTAAAAATAAGGTATTTACGCCCCAAAATGAGATTTTATACAAAAAGTATAAATTAAATAGATTTTAGTAGTCTGTGCATGTTTTTTGTTTTCTTTTTTGGTGTTCCCTGTATGGGAAATAAGAGTATATTGAGCATTGTTTATGGTTTTTTATATTAGGAAATGTGTGGAAGTACGAACGAGATAAAGAAACATGCTTGAAATCTTGAGTGACTGAAAACTGGAACGTTTTTACGTTTCAGAACGAAAAAAGGTACCTAAAAAAATATCATTACAAAAATATTTTCGGATAAAATATATTCACTTTTCATTTAGAGCAGAATAATCAAAAAGATCATAACATTGTATAAAATATTTATTTAATTTGCATAAAATTTTTCAGCAAACAAGCAAACCAACAATGATTTAATCTGTCAAAAACCAATTTCAGAACGATTACCAATTTCCGTCCGGTTGTCAATCAGCGAATTTGCACCTTGGTCTCGGCGACTGTTTATTTATTTGCAAAATAAATCGGACGTATCACTCGTTTTGTGCTATTTATATACAGAAACAACTCATACAGATACTAAAAATAACTTTACCAACACTCTGTGGTGTTACACACACAGTATAAAACAGTAAATACGTTTTATTTCATCAAAATGCGTTACATATTTCTTGCAACTATTTTTAGTGTTGTTTTTGCCTATGAAAAAGATATGACTATAATTGTACAGCCTGGGAAAATAGATTGTTTCTTTCATAAAGTCGTGACGGACGAAATCATAGACATCGAGTACCAGGTAAGTTATTTTTTATCGCCGTTGATAACCTCCTTCGGTTTTCGTAGATAAAACTTTTATGCCGATATCGTGAACTTTATAGTATCTATTAAATTGAACACGTTTCTTGAGTAATTAAAAATGAATTGCGAAGCTAATTGTTTAAGTACTGACTTTGATAAGAGTTAAAAATTAACTTAAATTTTTGTTTTGGCCCTCTGCCAATTATAAACTAAACTCTCATTGGAAGTGTATATTTGAAGTGGATATACTTCTCAGTACAATGCTCTGTCAAGATAAAAACTGTTTATATTATATATTTATGTGTTTCTTGTACTGGAGATTCAGTTGCACAGCAAAGAAAAAAAAATACTGCTGCAATAACAAGTCTCACAATAAAAAACAGGTAGTTCCTGCGCTTAGATGAACATATCTTTAATAACAATAAAACATACATATAATCATACCTGTCTTCCATTGTGGTAGACACAAACAATAGAATGCAAATGCTACAATTCTGGCATAACTCTTTCGCTACATCTACATTCATCAATCTCTTCATACATGCTTGGCGATTGATGGCGCTTTTATCTTCTAATACAACTAAGGGCTGATTATTCAATCAATAAAATAAAATTGACATTTAATGGATTTTTAGTATGGAAGAATTGTCAAATATTCAATGTTATTATTCCTCAGCCAACTTAAAATTGGTCCGAACGTAAGTGCCTCGTTTGTTGAGTGGTCGCAACTGCGACTGCCAGGCAAGGGGTCTCGGTTTCAATTCCAGAGTCGGTCAAAATATTACTGGGTTTTTTAAATATAGTCAGTGGTAGCACAGAGTCTGGAATTGTGCCCGGTATTTGGCAATAGGACTCATAATATAAAATAGTGAAAAGTGGGGGTCACATAGTACAGTGGCATTATGGGCCGGTTGGCCACTATGTTGTGAAAGTTATGCCTATTATGTCATATATTTATTATTTATATTTTTGGACAATGATATGAGTTACACGTTTACGTTTATTTAAAAACATTTTATTGTTTTGAATATTGAGAAGTCTATTCATGCCCAAAACAAGTATTGTGTAGTTACTTGTTAGGGCTGAGTTAATGTTAGATAGATATTGTAATTCTTGAGATAATAAACAATTTGAATTGAAGAATCCTCAAATTTCCAATCCTCAAAAGGCCGGTAACGCACTTGTAACGCCTCTGGTGTTCCAGGTGTCCATTGGTGACGCCGATTGCTTACCATCAGGTGATACGTCTGCTTGTTTACCGGCTTATCCCATAAACAGGAAACAGGAAAAACGGAATTGCGCCTAGGAAGTTAGACTAGACAGAAGCTATATAGTATTTCATTAAAAAAATATCAAAACTGATAAAGAATTAAAATCTTCCTTACATAATAAATCAATGGCATGGGTCACTATTTATGTTATGAGTCCCATGTAATAGGGGGTGAGCCTATTGCCATATACCGGGCACAATTCCAGACTAATACTTCCCAACCGACATCCCTTGCCCGGCAGTCGCTTTACGACCACTCGGCCAACGAGGCAGTATATAATTTATTGCAAATACTAAACACTTTTTATATGTAGTTACGACCTAATAGATGATTTAGATTTTTGAGTTTGTGTAGACACTCTTTGTCTTGAGCTAGGGTGGGGCAAGTGCCACCCTGACCCACCGTGCCTACGCCCATGATCAATGGCGTATCAATCTGCAATCGGTCGGAACAAATTAACAGTTAATATTTTATTGCATACAGTTACTTCGTCACTGATAAGCTGAAATGGAAACAAGTTATTAATCGCAATTGCAGTTAATTACAGTTTTGTTATTAGAAGTACATGGAAGCCGTTTATTTTTTAACATTCACACCTATTTTGTTTTAGCTGATATGTATATTTATTTAAGGCCGATTTAAGTTAGCTTCCAATGTCCCCAATCTTCGAAATCCGAATTCCTAATCCCCAAAAGGCCGGTAACACTTGTAACGCCTCTCGTGATTCAAGTGTCTATTAACGGCGTTGCCTACCATCAGGTGATCGGTCTGCTCGTTTACCCATTGATATGTCCTCGAAGGCAGAATAATTCTTCCCTGACCTGGAAATCCACCATCCACATCTTACTTGGCAACCACGCTCGCTTGAAAACCTGCATTATAGTCTGAAAAAACACACAGCCTACCTTTCATCATTTTTTTTTTGAGGAAGAGGTAATTCATCAATGTCTTCTCCCGCCTTTGGTGAGGCGAGAGTGAGTGTGATACTGTTGCTTTTTTTTTATGGCATAAGACGGTAATCGATTAGACGGATCACCTGATGGTAAGCGATCGGCGTCGCCCATGGACACCTGGAACACCAAAGGCGTAACAAGTGCGTTATCTGCCTTTTGGGGATTGGGAGTTTGAGGATCGTTGGGGATTCAGGAATTGGGGAGATTGGGGAAGGGGAGGGTAATTGCTAATTAAACATCACCCCGTTCCGAATCCTGCATAGAGCTGCAGCCCCCGTAAACCTTGCAGTTCTCAAGAGTGCCCTAGGCTTGCCTAATTTTGTTTGGCGCCGCTGTCACTTTATTAGCAGCTGAGCACGCGCTTCTCCCGGTACCCTTCCGTAACCTGTGCCTTTAGTTAAACGCCACTTTAGAGCTTGTCTACAGAGAGAGTAGGTACTAAACAAAATGTATGAGGATGACACTGACAAGTGTCAAAATTTACGTCAATTCCATATAATTTCGTTTTCTATTCTACATGTAGATAAGAGCTAAATGACGTTTAGCTACAGCTGCTGATGCTCTAGTCAGTAAGAGTCTGACACTCCCTCCCGCCTCACCCAGGCTGGAGCAGTCATTCGATGATTTTCCCCCCTTAAAAAAAAAAAAAAAAAAA